CCGTAATGCTGGGGTCCGAACATCTCCAAAGTTTATGGCTGTTTGTTCAGGGTATGTCTAGCTTTTCACTTTAAGAGTAGCACGCAGCGCTGGAAAAGGCCGGGCAGTGCCTTGGAAAATGGGAAATGAGGCAGAAAATCATGACTCATTCTGCACTGCAAGTTTGGCAAAGCGTCATATGAAAGCACCACCACCAACCCCACACAGAGATCTCACTGGGAGACATTTCTGCTCTTCTGAGAGCAGCTCCGCCCAGCCCTGCCGTTCCCTTCCCTGAGCCGTATGGGAATTCGCTGAGTTCAGACAGGATTTCCTGCCGTTTCCTGCCTAGACTCATCGCTCCAGAAAACGGAGGTCTTGCCAGTCTCACGGCCTCCATGGAAGCTACGCGTACCCTGCTGGGGCCCTGAGTGTGAGTCTGAAATTTACGTCACCTCGGGAAAACAAGCTTGGAAATCTAAGCCCATCCTGAAGGGCCGTGGCGCCACACTGAACTACAACAAGGAAGGGGGCAGAGAGGCAGTGGCAGAGTAGTGAAGGTAAAGGAGCTTCCCTGACCAGACCAGGTGCTCAAACCCCTTTCCCTCACGAGAAGCAAAAACACGCCGAAATCAACCAGGAGCTTCAGGGGGTAGCCGAGTTAGACGTTGGGCTCATTGATTAAACCACATTATACCCAAAGGGGTAAATAAATAAGCATCATCGTCCCCATTATTCAAATGGGGGAAACTGAGGCACAGCACGTCCCATAACAGTCATTGTTCTTATGCTTCCCAACACTGAGCCCTGTCACGGGGCTTTTCATGCACGGCTCACAAAGCACTTTGTGAAGGGGGCAGGGATCGTTGTCGTTTAGGGGATGGGTGACTGAGCCACGGGTCAATAAGGCAACTTGTTCAAGGCTGGACAGCAGGCCAGCATCCGAACCAGGGACAGAACCCAGGTTTCTTGATTTGCTTTTCAGCTCCAAGATCCTGCCCCACCTCCGGGGCTGGGGTGTTCTGAATTCTGCACCGAAACCACAATCTTTGTCTTATCCAGCTCAGGGTTTTTAACCCACTAGCGGCTTGTTTATTTCTAGAGCAGACGACGGCAAAAAGGCAACGCTGCCGTGCAGACTTGTCAAGGCCGAGTCCCTCCCCGGCCGGAGGGGAAAGCTCCAGCAATGAAATATGACTGCGTCCCACCCCCAGCGATGGGCGGAGAACACGCTGAGTGCTGCTTGTGAAACGGGGCGGCCGCGGCCCGGTCCACACCCCAGCGAGGGAACACTTGCAAGAGCAGCAAAACTGTGTTGTTGCTCCAGAGACGCTCAGCCCTTCCCTCTACTTGCAGCAGCCGCTTCTCTTTCGCCAGCTGCGAGGCAACACATCTCTAGCTTGGTGCACCAGCCAGGGAAGCAAATGTTAACCATGCGGCCACCCTGAAGGATGCAAAACTTTGGATCCGGACTCCTGGATTCGGATGCCTGGACTTACAGCTGCATGAAACAATTACAACTCTGTTTTCTTTAGGGACTGTGTCTCAAACACCCTTTGCTCCCTGGAGATGTTACAGTAGCAACAAACCATGACTTGGATCCTGCAATCCTAACTCAGGCAAAACTCCAGTCGGTGGGAATTTTCATAGAATCCCAGGGTGATTGGCAGAGACCTCAGGAAGCGTCACATCCAGCCCTCTGCCCAAAGCGGGACCAACCCCAACTCCATCAGCCCGGCCACGGCTTTGTCAAGCCGGAACTTAAACACCTCTAGGGATGGAGATTCCACCCCCTCCCTAGGGAACCCATCCCAGGGCTTCCCCACCCGCCTAGGGAAATTGTTTTTCCTCATCTCCAACCTAGACCTGCCCCGCTGCCACTTGATACTTTGCCTGCAGAGAATGCAGGACCAGGGGCCACAAGGCTACACCCCATGGTCTGCAAAGGCCATTCTGCAGGTGGCTGGTGGCGCACTCAGTCCGAGGGGGGAACATTGCAAGGAGGAGCTCTGCCGCTCCCACCCATGTGATGAGTCTGAGGCTCTCAGTAGAGTTGCTAGTGGAGAAGTGTCACAAACGTGCACTCAGTAATAACAGGCACAAATTGACCCCTTAGTCATTTTTTGAGAGCAGCCTTCGGCATCAGACCCATCAAAGAGTCAATGGCCGTGGACACCGACGTGGCTTCCGGTGCAGGCTGGCCAGCTGTCTGTCTCCTTTGCAGCATTGGCAGCGAGAGGAAATCCCAGGCCTAAAAGGGTCTTTTGCTCAGCTAGTTACATCGGGCTTCTCCTTCCCCTTTTGGCACCCTTGGCTCAGACACTGGTATCCTGGCCCAGCGCGGTGCATGGAGGAGTCTCTTGCTGCCACGTAGGTCTGTGGGCAAGGACTGTAGGTTCAGCGCTGTCGTGCGAGCTGTGTAAAACACCTGTCAGCCTTTTGCAGGCTCTTGGGGCCTGACTCAGACCCCATGGCAAGGGGCAACTACCATGGGTCATGGGGGGGAGGGGGAAACACAGAACTTCCCTCGCCACCAGCCTCTCCCAAGGGAACCCCAAAGGGGAGGAAGGTTCTGATGCGCTCACCCACGTGGCACCCTGTCACCTTCCAAGCGGGCCAGCCAATTTCAGTGGGGCAGCTGCGGGGTAGGGCACAGCGCAGCAGGTGGGAGGACCTCCACATCTGCTCTTTGTTACTAAGCGATCGGCACGCTTTTATCTGAGTGCCTGGCCACTCTGAGCCACGAGTGCACACCCTGAGCTCCAGAGCATCGCACAGTAAAACGAAATACAAGGGAAAACCAAGGCGGGATAAGGAAGACCCTGCAGGTAAAGAAAACTGCAAAGGGAAGAGAATAAACCAGTAACACACAAGCCCGGGGCAAATCAGCAGTTTCCTTGACTTCCTAGACGACTGCTCTTATCACCAACCGAAACACAGATCACGCACCGAGGTGTCCTGTCTACGGAGGCAATATCGAAAGTGCAGGTTTTTCGGGGATCAGTTTGCTGTAGAGGGCAGAGAATGATTTCCTTTAGTCTATCCTCTGGGGACAGACAACCCAGGATTATAATGGGCTGTCACTGCCTCGACGTTTTGACTGGATTCAGTGCCAAACCATAAGTGACCTCATGGTTTTATCACTGCCCCGCCAGCTCCTAGACCCTTACGGCATCACAGACGCTGTAATTCCACAAAAGGAGTTAAGCAAATTGCTCCTCAAAGACAAAATTAGCTCTTCTATTGCCACCTTGTCTGTTTCTCAGAGTAGACGAGACACAGATGGGGGACACACCTGCATGACTGAGGCTAGACATTTTATGAGGCTCAAGCAAACTTGCAGACAGAGCTTAAAGTCAGCTGAAACCAGGTGGCCGCAGTTGGGTGGGGTCTACATTCCTTTACTACTCCTAGGGAGCGAGCAGCATGGGAAAAGACCTTCCCCATCAGGAGAGGTAGGGTGCAATCTCATGCAGCTAAGCAGCTGTAGGACTGGGGTTACATGTTCAGTCACCAATGTGGCCACCGGCTCAGAGCCATTTTCCAAAGAGACCCAGGACCTTCACAAAAGTTTATTGGACTCAGGCTTTTGGGGATATTGTTTGGGAATGGTTGGCACCAGGGAACAGCCCACTGCCACAGGCTGGGGGCCAACTGGCTAGGCAGCAGTTTGGCAGCAAAGGAGCTGGGATTGCAGCGGATGAGAAGCTGGAGATGAGCCAACAGGGTGCCCTTGTAGCCAAAAAGGCTAATGACATATTGAGGTGCATTTGGAGGAGCATTGCCAGCAGATCTAGAGAAGTGATTATTCTCCTTTATTCGGCTCTGGTGAGGCCACATCTGGAGTATCGTGTCCAGTTCTGAGCCTCCCACGACAGAAGGGATGTGGATGCACTGGAGAGGGTCCAGCGGAAGGCAACCAAAATGATTCGGGGGCTGGAGGGCATGACCTACGAGGAGATTTGGGATTTGGGCAGAAGAGAAGAGTGAGAGGGGGGATTTGATAGCAGCCTTCAACTCCCTGAAGAGAGGTTCCAGAGAGGCTGGAGAGAGGCTGGTCTCAGTGGCAGAAGAAGGAGCAATGGGCTCAAGTTGCATTGGGGGAGGTCTAGATTCGATTAGTAGGACAAACTATTTCCTTAGGAGAGTGGTGAAGCACTGGGATGGGTTCCCTAGGGAGGTGGTGGAATCTCCATCCTTAAAGGTTTTTCAGTCTCGGCTTGACACAGGCCTGGCTGGGATGTTTGAGTTGGGGCTGGTCATGCTTTGGGCAGGGGGTTGGACTTGATGACTCCTGACGTCTCTTCCAGCCCTAATCATCTATGATTCTACCCCTGTAGTGGCCCAAAACCATCCACCCAGAAACATGGAAGGGTTCTGACCTGGCTTGTAGACTGTTAAGATCCAAGTTTCTTGTGCGGCCCAAAGAAATTTGCTCTGACTTACCCCCCCGACTTACAACCCCCCATATTTACGGCCATTTTTGTCATGCGAGATAGCTCCTAAACCCCCCAATTTACATTTGCAGCTCGCATTCATGACGGCGTACGACGCAGACTCCACACGTCACCCCAAAACAGAAAACACACAAGGTCAGTCAGACTCGCCAGTCTGCAGTTGCTGCTTGAACTGCGCGTGGTTCCACCACGGCGGTCTTCACTTGTGTGTTATTTTTGTGCGTTATTTGAACTAGTTAGTTTAGTTTTCGTCCATTTCCGTCGTCAATGTTGGTATTTTTAGGGCATGAAATGGGTTTCCAGGAACGGAACCGCCATTCACAACATCGCGCTATGGGAATAAGGGTTCGACTTACGACGGTTCTCCAGGAACCAGTTCGGTGGTAAGTGTGGGGGTCGCCTGTACTCTGTTCTTGGGATGAGGAAAGCTCCCTCCCCCCACCACCAAAGGACATCTGGCGGTTGTCGATGTTATTGAGCAGCAGCCCACGTGGATGGACTAGGCTGCTGAGCGTTGCTCTCCGCATGCCCCAGTGGCCCGGCACAGATCAAAGAACTCCTTACCGGGTACCCCCAGTTGCTGTTTCCTGTCTGGGTTTTGGCATAATAACTGCCCCGGGTAGTCCCAGAGTTGACGCCATCAGCCAGCCCGTCATACGTGGAACCTGCAAGCAGAAGAACAGCGTTAGGACAGGAACCCTAAGCCCCCATGGGGTTCGCATGCAGGCTTTGTTTGCCCGAGAGGTCACGCTCTTCTCCATTGACCATCACAGACGGGTGAGGGATGCACCAGAAATCAGGGGGGAAGGGAAGGCCTCTCCCAATGCGCATGGCTGTGAGAAGCTACAAGCCGCTCTGAGTAGCCATCAGGAAGGTGATAAAGGGCAGCACTTCTCTCTGGACCAAATTCTGCCCCTTTGCTCGTGTTGGACCGGGCCTTACTCTGAGAGCTGGCCCATGCATTCCGGTACCCACTGTGCCTGCAGGTGACAGGATGTAGCTCTTACCTCCTGCGGGGGGAAATGGAGTACAGAGGTTCACTCCTGTCCCCCACTAAGCCTCTCCTGTGAGTTTTCTAAGCAGCTCCCAGCATGGCCCAGCCTAGCAGCAGGCACTCCCATTGATCTCCCCCCGGCACACCCTTGTAACGGGACCCTGGCGCCAGTTCTCCCATTTCCTGGTTTTCTCCAAAAGCCATTCCCGTGAGGTCGCACTGGCCACAAAGAGCGGGGAGCAGAAGAAACATTCACGCTCCTCCATTCTGGAAATCAGTGGGCTTGCTGAAGCCCTGTTGCATTCGAAAATCCCTCCCCGCCTCTGTCTCGCCCACATCCCTGACGGTTTGATGTGCCTGCTCGGAGATACTGATCTTCCAGAGAATCCAAGCAAGCTCCCAGGCTGAGCCCTGCAGTCATGCGCACGGGTACAGCCCCGCCGTGCTGGGGCACTGCAGTAGAGCGTGTTTATGTCTTGCTCTTAGAAACTGGCTCCGGTCGTGCCAACCAGGCTCTTGGCTTCAGCTCTTGCATTTTCGCCAAACACCGTTACACTGGAATTGTGTGTTAATAACAGCGCTTTGTGATTACACCGGCCTGTTCGTCTTCCAAGGGCCTTGCAGCCTTGAATGCCAAGATCCTCCTAACTCACGAACAACACCCACGCCGGGTAACGAAAGAACATCGTTCAGGTGAGCTCCCCAGCCCATGACTGGCACATGCGAGGCGTTCCTCTTGCCCCCGAGCCATCGCACAGCTGGTGAGGGCATTCTAGGATGGAGCAGCATCCTGTGTGGTGAGAGGCGCTGGCCCAGAAAGGGGAGGAGAAATGAGCCAGAATGGGCATCAGCAAGGACCCCTCTGCGCCAGCCTCTAGACTGAGGATAAACTCAAGAGATTTGGAGAGTTGTCTGTCTAGACCCAAGTCTTAGTTTGTGCCCAGGCTGAGGCCTGGCACCTCTAGGCTTGGCACTTTGCACCCCGGCACCTCGGAGCTCACCACATCTGCTAGGAAAGTCAAAAACTGCTCAAGCCCCGGCACTTAATTGCTTGAGCCTTGGCCCCTCTGTCCTTGCCAATTATCCCTGCCCAGAACCTGTTCGTTTCTCTGCGCTGCTGCTCGTTTCATCCTTGTGCCAGGCCGAGGGTTTTGTTGGCAAAGGGAAGGGCAAGGCAGGGATGGTCGGGTGTGCAGTGAACGTGCTGTGCTTTGGTTTGAGTGCCCCCTGCTCTGCGCACTGCCCCGCAACGATTCCCCGTGTCGATTTCAGGTTGAGGCCCGGCTGCCAGGGAAGGAGTAGGGTGGGACATTCGACTACTGGTTTAACCCCGCCGGTTTGCCACGTGTTAGCTACCAAAGCCGGCACTAGGGACGGAGCCCTTAGCCCCAGCTGCCTGGAAATCATTTCTCAGCGACCACTCTCCTGAGCTGTTCTCACGTCCTCTGACACCCAGCGCGGAGCTTTCTCCCACGGGGTCCTCAGCAGCTCCTCTCCAAATACAAGGGCTGCACAGTGTGGCCCAAATAAACTCACTCCCAGGACTGCGGGCTGGGAACGTGCTGTTTTATTCCACTTCAACACAAGGATCTGGAGAAAAATCCATCAGAGGAGAATAAGGGAGGGGTGGAGCATGGTCCCATCCCGGACTGTCCTTTGTAACCTAGGTAACCATGTCACAACTACTTCATCACACACGCCTGAGCTCAGGAAGGGTCGGGGGCTCGGGGCAGGTAACGGGCTCTTCTCACCTTCCTATGTTGGGGACAGTTTTCTCCTCTCCTCTCCTTTCCATAAGGGCTCTCCTGATTCGCCCTGAGCTGCAGCAAGACAATTTCTTTTCCCAGCCGAGCATCACCCCGAGTCGTTCCTGGCCGATGCTGGTCGGGGGGCAGACGGCTGATTGAATCAGACCACCGGCCAGTGGAATTGCAAGGTCACAGCCTACCTCGCTGTTTCTGGGTCTGTGACCCTCGGTTTGCAAGCTCTCCAGGGCAGGCCCTGCCTGTTTGGTCTGTGTGTGTACAGCACCCACGCCAGAAAATGCAAATGATACAGCAGCCCCCCCAAGGCACATCTTTGCTTTCATGTTGTGGCTTTATTACTGTGGGCTGGAGTCCCTAGGGATTTTGCAGGATGGACAGTTCACCACGTAGCACCAAGCCCTGCTATGCCCTGTGACATCCTCATTCTCTCCCGCCACGGAACGGTGGCTCTCCGTGGCAAGAATTGGACGGGAAATTCAGCCGCATGCAAGATTAATTTGGTGGGGGGCAGGAGGGGGTGGATCAATGTAAAACATCAGCCTCATATTTGCACTGCGTAAGCAGCTGCTGCTTCAGTTTATCACGAGCAAGGGGCTTTGATACTGGCCAGCAGCTGATGGGCGTGAAGGAAGAAAGTGGATCTCCCACAACCTGCCCTTCCAAAGACAGCGGCTCACTCAGTAACAACCTGATTAGGGCGGCAGCTTTCCCAAAACACTGCACTGTGAGCACAGAAGCCCCATTGACTTTGTACCTGCTCTTGGGTCAGGTAGGGTCTTGAAAAATCCCATACGAATCCAACTCCTTTCAAGTGGCTTTGCTTTGAGATGCCACCCCCCAGCCCACGCCCCAGGGAACTTGGGGAGATCTGGCCTGTCTTCTGGGACCTTGTGTCGAACACAGTGCCGTGCGGGGAGCCATGCAACAAAACCGTACGTAGCCACTGAATGCACACGGAAGACTTAAAAAGCACGAACTGTCCCATCGTCGAGATTCCCCAGACATCCTGGCTAAGAACGGCTAAGGGGATTACCAGTCATTACCTAATTTTGAGCCGCAGTGGCCAGAGGCGAAGTTTGGGTTTAGGAGCCTCCCTAGCTGGGTTTCGAAAGCGCCGAGCCTCTGAGACTCCTGAGCGGTGGGTGCTCTGCATCTTGGAAAGACCAGGCTCTTAACTGGATCAGCCCCGCAAGATGGTTCAGTTTCACTATGGAAGTAAGTTGTCTAATATGGTACGCCTGCTCCTGCCCTCGGCCATACGCTGAATTCCCAGCAGAGCTGTGGCAAGGGTGGAGGGCAGAATCGACGCAGCGGTTGCTGCCTCCTGTTGAGATGGTCGCGTGTGTGAGCCTGGCAACGCTGCCTCAGCCCTCGTCTTCCCACCCAGCACGGCCTTGCTTCTTATTCCCTCAGGCCCCGAGGCCACAAAGCGCTGCCCAAACTCTGGAGCCCCCACCCCCGGTTCCACACTGCCAGCCTGGCCGAGGATGGGCTGGTCCATGCACACCCCCTCGGAGAACTGCAACATCTCCCAAGCCCGGGAAGTGGCTTGATGGGGCTTGAGAAGCCAAGTGGAACTGTAGAAACATCTCGCGCTCTGTCCCGATTCCACAGGGCAGCCCCTGCGTCTCCCCGGAAGCCAGCCCAGCTCGTCCACAAGAGGCCCCGGGTATCTGGCCCCTCTCACATTAGAGTCCCCCTGGCCCTATCAGCTGTAAGGCTCAGGCAGCCTTGCAAAGCCAGTCCAGAGCCTCAAGGCATGAGCGGACAGCGTCACAGCCCAGCCGGCGGCCGTACCGCTCACCTTCCTGCCAGCGCCTCCCCCCATTCCTCACAGCCAGGCCTCCCCCAGGGAGGACTCGTCCTGGCTTTGCCACTGCTCCCGCAGGAGCGACATCCAGGCCGCAAGGTGCCCGGCAAGCACAGCCGAGACCCGATTGACAGCTGCGGACCAAGGGAGGTGACCCAGCTGCAGCGCCATTCCCGACACACAGGCCGTGCTGCAGCCGTATGCGCAGGGTGTTCCAGAGGGCTGGCGCTGCACCAGTCCGACTGCCTTTGCCCCCCAAGCCTGCCAGAAAACTACCCCGGAAACCGAGCTGCGGACAGTCAGCGCGCCCAACCTGGACTAGCGGGAGAGGGAGCCCCCAAAGGGCACAAGGCAAAGACCCGGTCGCGAGACATTTTGCAAATACTCCAGTCAGCAGGGAAATACACTGAGGAAAGCTGGGGAAATACCTCGCTGGCTGGGATGCAGGATTTAGCCAGGCACCAAGTGGCAAATGCTGCTTTGCCCCTTCCCACGGACGCCCCCAGAGCACATCATGAACATGCAGGGAATATGCCTCAAAGCGCCCCTGCGAGAAAGGTCTAATCTCCACAGTGCAAGGGGGAAACTGAGGCACAGAGCGGCTCCAGGGGCGTTCCCGGACTCACACAGCGGCAGAGCTGGAGCCAGTTCTGCGCTAGCCCTGCCAGGGACTGCGATTTTCTGCCACCTCCTCCGGGGCAGCTCCGGAGAAACCAGCCAGCCTGTCGCTTAGGGAGCAAACCCGCCAGAGCTATGGAGCCTCCATTCCGGAGACCCCCCACGCCGAACCTGGGAATCCCCCCCTACCGGGAGCCCGCCGGCTGGGGAGTTACCTCGGTTGGAATGGCCCAGGCCTGACGACTGAGACGATTTCTGCTTCTGCCGTTTCACCGTCATCATCACCTGTTCCTGGACACGCTGCTTCCCCGTGCCCCGGGTTTTCAGCTTGTGGTCCGAGGGCAAGGCCAGAGTGGAATTGGCCTGGTCCTGGAAACACTCATAGGCCAGGGCAGTTTTCAGCGGCGAGTGGAGCATGGTGGCGGTGGAGCGAGTGGGTGGAACGGCACTGGGCTGCGCTGCCGAAAGCGACAGGAACAATTCTCGAGCCGGGCGTCAGCTTCAAGGCTCCCTCCTTGCCATACGTCCCTCCGCCGCTGGCTTCTCCTCCCCCTTCCCCAGGCTCCTGCGGCTGGCGTGTGAGCAGGCACGCCCTCCGTCCGCCGGGATATACGGCCCTGCCTGCACACACCCACGCGGCGAGTCCCGCTCGGCTCAGGTGCTGCAGGGCAGACAGGTTTAGTGCTGACCTCCTGCCACAGGGCTGTTTACACAAGAGCACCAGGCACAGGGAAGCCAGAGCAGTAGGGGGGAGAGGTGGAGGAGGGGGGGAAGTTGGGAAGCTTCATCCTTGGAGCGACGACTTCCAGGATTCCTAGGCAGATTCATTGCTGCCCCCTGAGTGTGCAGAGACACCTCTCCCTGCCTACCAGCCGGGCGCCCCTGCAGTCAATGCCTGGGCCGCTCCGCTTGGGGCTCATCTGTTCCCCAGTGGGAACCGGGTCAGCCTTCGCGGCCTACACCATGGGACGGGGGGTGTACACGGCTCTGGAAACCCAGGTCTGGGCGCCGTAGGCCCAGCTCTCAGTGGCGGGGCCGGGTCTCGCGGCCGTATTGCCTGGCCGGCGTTTCTCACTCAGGCCTTTGGCGGGAGCTGCAAAATGACCAGGGCTCGGCCGGATTCCGGCACCACCCCGCCTCCGCAGCAGGGTCCCCGGACACAAGTCCGGAGCGGTTCCTGGCCCGAGTCAGGCTGCTTTCTGCATGGGCGGCGGCGGGGGACGGACTCAGCGTGGAGTCGGACAGACCTGCCCTCGAGGGCCAAGGGACCGTTTCAGACGAGGTGTTTGCTCCGAGCAAGCATGTAGGACTCCACGGGGACGGGCTCCGTTCCCGGCTCTTCCACTGAGGCCCAGTGTGACCGTGGCAAGCCATGCCCCTCTGCCTCAGTTCCCCTTCTCTCAAAGGAGGAGCGCTCTTCCTTCAACCAGAGACCCCTCACGGTGCACGTACAGCGCCTAGCGCAGAAAGGCTCGGCTCTCGACTCAGGCCTCTTGACTCCTCCAGTGCTGCTCGTGTCACACTAATGAAGCTCAGTTCGCCGGGAGTGTGAGGGGTTCCCCAAGAGAGACCCCCCCAGAGCCCAAGCTGGCCCTGTGCCTGCTTTTGACCCCACACAGTTGACTGCACACAACCCTGGCTTGGACTCTCATGGGCCTGCCAGTGCCTAGCTCCCACTGAACCCATGGGCCTGAGACCTTTGAGGCCTCCCATTTTTCAGCTTTGAGTTTGTCCGTTTTCCAGCCAAAAAATGAAGATCCTCGTGGGGGCAGGCACTGTCTGCGACCTTCCGGACCGGCCCACCCCCCACGGCCCAGCCCCGGCAAACAAGGCGTATGGAACAGACACATTCGGCTGCAGACACAGGAACAAGTCCGTGGCCAGTATTTTGACGGCAGAAGGGCCACAGTTCTCCTGCTTTCCTGATGCCAACCCGAAGAGGGCAAGAGAGCAGGGTCAGCGCGGGCATGCTCCAGGGGTCGCTAGGAGTATTCCCACACCGTTCTCACTTCACTCCCCCTCTTGCCCCTGCGCCCCCACTTAATGAGCATTCTTGGCTAAGTCAGGCCAGTAGGAGGCAGGTGCAGGTGAGAATCTAGCTGGGGAAAGGGAGCCTAGAACTGGGGGCGTACTGGGGAGCCCTGGGCTGGATAGCAGGGTGCTGCGCAGCAGAACTGGAGCGAGCATTGGCGGGCTGGGGCTGCAAAATGAAAAGGCACCGGTGGCCGAGCAGGCCAGGCTTGGGGTGCGCCGCTTAGCTCTCTTGAGGAAGCGCTCACGTCCGCACTAAGCTCCCTAGGGCCGTGTCGGCCTGGGAGCAACACCATGGAGGACTGGGGCTGGCTGCCTGCAGGCCCCATGGCCTGGTGGCAATGCCAGACAACTCTTCAGTCATGCTATTGCCGGAAAGCCGCCGGGCCACTTCTGCACGCGGCCCCATGCCCGGCGAAAGGCAGGCGAGTACAGCCTGTGCCTGACACCGCGCAGCTACCGCCAGGCCTTTATCAGCTCCGCCGGGGCTGAATCATCCGCTGCCGCGCGATGCAGATGCTACATGTAGGCACCTAATTTCAGCACCTCTGCAACCCTGCCAGCCGGGGTGCCTGGATGCAAACGGGGAAGGCTTCCACAAAGCCTCTTGCTAAGGCTGGGGCTTGCAGCCGCGGGGGTGGTAGGAATCTCTTTGGAAAGAAGCAAGGCCCCCAAGATCCTGCGGCGTCCCACACCAAGGTGCCTCCTGGCAGGCGTGGCCGGGGAGACACAATGCCAAAGGGGCGATGACTCATCCGCAGGGTGTAAATCCACCCCTCTGCAAAGCGCACTGAGCAAAGGACCCATGGGCCGTTCTGGGGTCGCCGCACAACTCGCTGCGGCCCCCCGGGGGGGCAGGCAGGGAGCAAGAGAGCGTGGGCTGGGAGGGCTGGAAGGGGGACCGGTGGAAAGCCCGGCGAGGTGCCTAGCACCCAGGGGTGCTCTCGGTCCCAGCGCGCAGCATGGCCCGGCTGTGAGTCACGGCTCCGCACCCAGCCGCAGCGACACGCCTTGTGCAGCTGGCCTCTTCAAAGCATTTTTGTGCCGAGTTGCTGGGCCCTTGCCAGCACAAGGCGATTCCAGCAAAGGCTCGCAGGCCTGGTGCTGCTCCCGCAGGTCTCTCTGCTGGGACTTGTCAAGCGCTCCAAATCGACAGGCCCCATGGAGCGCTTGGGAAGTGTCCCGGAGAACGGCCGACCGGAAATCCCGCCCTCCGCCAGACTGCCGACTTCAGCCCCCCTTCACACAAGGCCCTTTCCGCCTTCACTAGCCCTTGGACCTGCTCAAGCAGCCATTTGGCTGGCCTTGGAGCCAAACCTGCCCCCCATCGCCTCCTGGCCGCCTGCCCATAGCGTTAGAGTAGCCCCTCCTACGGCACTGAGATGGGGAAGGCTGCGGTGGGGACACGGGGGCAGTTCACTCACCGCCCATGGGCCCCGGCTGGTGGTCGGCAGACAGCTGGCTCATTGGCTTCTCCTCACCTTCGGCTGCCTTCGTCGTAGCCAAGATACACTCACTCCTCTCCAAGCGCCGCTCAGTGGCATCCGCTGCCACGTGGCTTCCTCCCCCCCTTGGGCTCCCTTCGCCTTAGCCAAGATACCCCCCCCCCCCTCCAAGCGCCGCTCAGTGGCATCCGCTGCCATGGCCGCTGGGACCGTGTGTGACGCGGGAAGGAGAGAGGGACCCCTTGATTCAGCGCTAGGGGTGTCGGTACCGGAGGGAAGGGCTCCCGCCTGGTCACTCCACAGAGGAGAGGAAGGGGGCAAGGCGAGAGGTCTATGCGACCCGGGGGGGGGGTGTGGACTAAGGAAACACAAGAAGGAGGGGTCACCACAGGACACGAATAGGCAGCAGGTGTAAACCAAAATCAAAGCACCTCGTTGGAGCCTTAGCTGCAGGGAAAGACTCTCGCCTACGCCCGAGGGAGTGCGGTCTGGCAGGTTCTGCTGCCGACGGCCCACGCGCGGCTGGGTCTCGGAGCCAGCGCAAGCGAGGACGACGCCATTAAAACGGGGGCATTTTTGTCGGCCAGTTGCCGTCGTTGCTGACAGCCGGGGCAGGACGGGCGGGTGAGTCCCACCTCCCCTCTTCCCAGCATGCAAGCCCGCGCCTCCGGGGAACCTCCAGGCAGGGAGGCCTGGCAGAAATGAGCGGTGGTCGAGGCTGGTTCGCTTTGCTTTCCCTGAGTTCCCTGCAATGCACTAGCCGGCTGTGGTGCGTCACACTGAGCTGATGTGGTGCATTCACTCTGTGCAGAACAGGCGTGGGCAATGGGTCTAGCATACGCAGGACATTGGCCAGAACTGGGCTTCCTTGGGGGCTAGCAGCTGCTGCAGGATCCATCTCAGGCCGCCCCGTGCAGCTGAGTCACCCACATCTGGACGTCCACAGGCCCTCCGCGTGCGTCTGTCCCGGCTGCCTGTCAGCTGCCACTGGAGGGATCGGGGCAAGTCAGATGCTGCTTTGCTGCACGTTCAGGGGATTCTTACGGCGGCTTTCAGGGCAGAGCTCGGCGCAGTAGCCCCTAGGCATCACGCGGCATGTTCTCCGCTGGCCTCCCTGGCAGGGTGACCTCCCCCCTCCACTCTCGGGTGCTCTGGCACGGGAACCCAGCCATGCCCCCACCCCGCTCTGAACCCTGGCGCCCCACTGCACTGGGCCTAGCTGCAGAAGAGGAGGGCCCCTCCCCACCCCCCGTTTGTCCCTTTGTCCTGTGCTGATGTTCCTGAGCCGGGCGGTGCTAGTGACTCCGGGCGAAAGCAGCTCCCAGAACATCACCCCATCTGCGCCAACACGCTTTGTCCTGCCCCTCCCGTGTTCAGAGCTGCCTGTAAATCAGGCGTGGCTGTGAGCTTGGGTCCCCTGGCTGGGCGGAGGCCGGCGGGAGCGAAGGGGCCGCAGGCCACGCTGGTTTGCACTTAGCCCAATGCCCAGGTGCCCACGGGGTCACCTGGCCAGCGCCGGAGCAGGAAGCTGCCGGGATCAGTCATGCCTGGGAGCACCGGCACTTCGGGGAGGGTGATGGGGGAGCGTGGCACAGGATGGGAGGCAGGCGAGGGACAGAGCCAGGGGGCTAACGCAGGCGGGGCCATTCTGCAACGCGATGCGGTTGGGCTTTGGCTGCCGAAGGGTCCTCTTTACCCAAGCCCTCGAACTCGGTGCTGGGTCCTGCCATGAAGCCGGGGGCTGGACTCGATGCCTCTTGAGCGCGCGTCTGGCTCGAGGGCTCCGTGGTCCCGGCCGCCGTGCACGGCTGGAACGTGGCCTGGCCGGTGGGGAGAAGTGGGGCTCCCGTTCTCAAGGCCACGTTGCTTCCAGAAGTCTTGATTGCCAAGGAAATTAGGAACCTAAACCCCTTTGAGGACCAGGGCCCACATGATCGTGCCAGCAAGGAGGGCGCCACGGAGGCTTGCCCAGACTGGCTGACTCTTCCCTGCCGGACCAGTGAATGACTCGCAATGACCAGCCACCCCCACTTCCTTGGGCCACTGGACTCTGCCTGGGGCAGGAACAGCCCTGGTCAGGCACTCCGCTGAGCAATGCAGCTCTTCCTGCTCTCCTAGCCAGCAGGGACAGGGTCTATCTGACCTGTGGGGTTTCTCTGAGCCAGGGGCTGATCCAACAGGCCCAGCTGGAGGGGAAAGGGTCCTGCCTCCCCTACCGCAGCGCTCAGCAGGACAGGAACGGAGACACAGGAGGGCTGGAAGCAGAGCGGTGGAGGGCAGGAGGTTGCGGGGAGGGGGATGCAGCAGCAGGGAGGGTAGCCGGGGCAGAGGGATAGAAACGGGAGGCGGAGGACAGGCAGGAGTGGAGCCTGGCCTTGCAACGGGGACTCTGAGTTCACAGCCCTTGGGGCCCCATGCAATTCCACCCGCATGGCTTAGGATGCTTCCAGGACCATCGTCTCCGTGCCTTTGCCATTCACGCCCCTTATTAACCAGGCAGAGGCAGCTGCGCCCCACACGTGGGCACTGCACAGCCAGGCCCGGTGACGAATTCACACCCTCCGTTCAGCCAGGGCTTTGCCTAGAACAGGACCATTTCGGGGGCCTTCGGGCAGAGCGGCTGTTCTCTTCACGACACAGAGACCCAGGCTCAGAGCCGCCCGCTCAGCAAGGAAGGAGCCTGGTGAGGGTTATTCATTTATAAAAACGGAATCCCAGGGCTGGCAGAAATGCCAGGAGTCGAGTCCGGCCCCCTGCCCAAAGCAGGACCAACCCCAACTCAATCAACCCAGCCAGCGCTGTGTCAAGCTGGGACTTAAACACCTCTAGGGATGGAGATTCCACCCCCTCCCTAGGGAACCCATCCCAGGGCTTCCCCACCCGCCTAGGGAAATAGTTTTTCCTAATATCCAACCTGGACCTCCCCCATTGCAACTAGAGAACATTGCTCCTTGTTCTGCATCTGTCACTACTGAGAACAGCCTCTCTCCATCCTCTTTGGAACCCCCTTCAGGGAGTTGAAGGCTGCTCTCAAATCCCCCCTCCCTCTTCCCTTCTGCAGACTAAATACGCCCAAATCCCTCAGTCTCTCCTCATAGGTCCTGTGCCCCAGCCCCCAAATCTCTGATCCTGCTCTCGGCTCTCCTGCCTTTCCTTCAGTGCCAGCAGAAAAGCTTCAGCAAAGAGCTTTACCGGGCCCCACAGCACAAGAGCCAGGGCCCTGCTGGGTGGACACTGGCTGGGGGACCCTGCTTGGGAGGGTGGGGCCAGATCCCCCGCTGCCCAGAAAGGGGAAGGCTCCGGTACGGACTCCAGTACTGCACCCGCGGGGGGCGGGCAGGATGCCGAGGAGGGCGGCCGCAGCTCCAAAGGACCCAAGGCCAGGAGAGGGGCTGGGGAAAGGATCAGGGTTTGAGTACAGCGCGCCCGGTTACGGCTCTCTGGGGTTTCCCCCGTCCCCTGAGTAGCCCGTGTGACCGTGGCAGGGGCCTTGCTTTGACGGGGACACTGGATCACGCCCGCAGCCATTTTGGGAGCGTGCCTCCATTTTGCACCAGCCCTGCGAGCCCACACCTGAGCAGAAAACCGGTTTCCAGCCGTGCACGCTGGGGCCAAACCCAGCAGAGAACCACCCGGGGCAGGTCTGGGGCCGGGCCCGTCCTCTCGGCTTCCGCGCAACTTTGGCAATTCAGCACTTGTGGACTCCCGAACCAGCCGCCTACAGGAAACAAACCTCCAGGCCTCCCGGGGCAGAGTCCCAGGAGCAACTCCTGAAGGGCACGGAGGAAGGACGGGGAAAGGCTGGAGCGGCGTCAGGCACAGGGAGGCAACTCAACCCCCCGCTCATGAGTCATTATTTACTCTGCACAGAATTCTCCCGCCCCTGGCACTGTCAATGCCCCTGTACCAGCGGGGCTCAGCACCCTCGCACGACCAACACAGCCCCCTGGGGAGGGAAGCGCCAGCAGCCAGGACCCCTCTTTGGACCCCTCTTTCACAGGGCGCAGGCTCCCAGAGGTAGCCTGTACCGGGCATCCCTGCTCCCTCAAAGCACAACATGCTGCTTTCGCTGCACTCCCACAGCCTGAAAATCCATTTTGCCTTGCCCCGTGCCCTGCAATGCCTCCCCCCAGCTCTCAGCGCCGTGGCGCCTTTGCTGCAGCCGGTGCGAGGGCAGCCATCTTGTCACCGCAGTGCAGCTGAGGAGAGGACGGGCCTCGCTTCCATGGGCCGCCCGAGGCATCATGGGACGCCCCATGTTCTGGCAGGCTTTGGGGTGCTCCCACAAACAGCTGGCGGCTGGAAGCGAGGCTCAGGAGCAGTTGCGTTTCCTCCCACCACACATGGACGGAAAGCCCAGAATATGTGACAGAGAAAAGTTGCCGCTTTCTTCCTCTTTCGATAGGCGCCGCTCCCCAGACAAAGCCATCAATGACCAGTGTGCCTCATGGGGAATGAACAGTTTGGGAGGGGTGGAATCTCCATCCCTAGAGGTGTTTAAGTCTCGGCTTGACCAAGCCCTGGCTGGGTTGATTGAGTTGGGATTGGTCCTGCCTAGGGCAGGGGGCTGGACTCGATGACCTTCTGAGGTCTCTTCCAGCTCTATGGTTCTAGAGCTGGGAATGGGAACAGGCACCCATGAAGCAAGGCTGCCCCCTTTCCAAATCACAATGTTGCCGTTTGCAGAATTTGCTTGATCGGAGGCAGCGCTTGGCTGTTTCCAAAGGCAAGGCCCGGGGACAAGCCGACCGGCGGCAGAGCTCAGCACACCCCATGGCTGTCCAGCGGCCCCGGGCGGGGCTTTCGCAGGGACTGCCCTTCCGCCTGGCAGCCAGCACACAGCGCACGCGGAGGAGGAAAGGGCAATTTCAGCAGCTTGTCCCTGCTGTGACTCTGGAGCGGCGCTGAGCG